AATGTCAAAGTCTCTAGGGAATGTGGTGGAACCTAAAACAATCACGCAAGGTGGAAAGGTGAAATCATTTATTAGTGTATTGAATACTTGATTATATGTATATCGTTATACTTACTCTATTTCTATATAGAACTTGCAAACGCATCCTCCATATGGTGCAGACATATTAAGACTTTTGGTTGCGTCATCTGAATACACAACGGACGTAAACATCGGAAAAACATTTTTGAGTGAGTGTTAGAGGTTTGTTTGATGCTCATAATTATAATGTCAAATTAATTCTTTTTAATTATAGATCAAGTGGTTGATAGTATGCGTAAATATCGTAATACGGCACGCTTCATGCTTGGAAATTTGAATGACTTTAATTATAAAGATCAAGTGAAAATTGAATTGTTAAAACCGGTGATTTTAATATAAATAATATTGCTTTTATTTAGTCGCTAAACTTATTGTTAAAGTGAATTATCATTTATTTAGATTGATTGTTATATGTTACATCAAGTATACCTTTTCGGTGAACAAGTTAATCAAGCATATGCAGAATTTTCTATAAGTCAAAGTATGATCAAATTTTTATATTAAATATCCCATATTCTCTGATTCTGATCCTATGTATTTCTATGCTTTTATTATAGTTGTTCAAGCGCTCAATAATTTTACGAATGTCAACTTGTCTGCATTTTACTTCGAAATTGTGAAGGATCGATTGTACGCAGATCACGCTAATGGCTTGAGCCGGCGAGCTGTACAAACAGTCCTTTATCAAGTAAGAAAAATTTCAAATTCATTTATATCAATTAATAAATATGTTACACGTATTTATATTGAATTTTCAATAAGATATTAAATGTGTATGCGCTATCGCTTGCACCTATTGTGCCACATCTTGCCGAAGAAATTTATGAAAATTACAAAATAATCGGACCTATTTCACATAATAGTGTTTTTCAACTTGGCTGGTATCATTTGGTAATTTATTACATGTCTATGTGAAGCTTATAGATTCTATCAATTCTTATAAGTTTTATTTTTCTTTCCTACTTTAGGAGAAGGAATGGAATAATCCCTCGATTGCAAGTGAATTTGAGATTTTAAGGGATCTGCGAAATGAAGTTAATTATTTGCTAGAAATGGCTAGACGAGACAAGTAGGGTTGATATGAAAATAATATTTCGAAGATTTTTCGTTCTTTCAAATTTAGATATATAACGATTAATTTATTTATTTTTTTAAGAATGATTAAAAGCTCTTTAGAGGCAAACGTGTACTTGCGTGTCATCGACGAACATTCGACGTTGAACAAGTTACTGAGAAATCAAGGTGACTTTATATCATGCAACTTTTCAAGCCTTGTTGATAATATATTGATGATATAACGATTTCAAAATATATAGAATCCGATCTGCCGTCATTTTTCATCACATCCTCTGCAAAATTATTAACCAATTCAGAACATTTGGCTATGGTCAATTCCACTAATTCGCAGGCAAATAGTCAATACGAAAAAAGAATAAAAACAGTTAATGGTACTGAGTGTGATGTTTTGGTAAAGAAAGCGACATTGAACAAATGTCCTCGATGTTGGAATTACCTAGCAATCAATGTAAATGAACTTTGTAAAAGATGTAATGATGTTTTAATGGCATAGAAGGATCA